TATCAAGCTACAAGTCCATTGGTAATTACTTGAACTGGTACTTAATACATTAATATATATAAATATATATTACATAAAATAATAAATTTTTTTATATAAAATTATTCATAATTAAACATTTAGGTAATTTAAATACTCAAATGTCTAAACTAATCAATATAATAAACATTCAATATTTACATAATTATTTTTATTAATTTGAAAATATATTTAAATTATCAAAACTTATTTTTTAAAAGGAAAAAAATCGGGTCCATCCAATTGGCCAACTTTGACCACTTTTTTACCGATTCAAACCAAAATGATCAACTGATTGATTTCAATTCTAACCAAATCATCCAATCTCTTTTTATAAATATAGTAACAACCCTACTTTATTATTATAATATTCTAAGGTTCATGCTATAATACATTTAAAAGAAATTCGACAATAATTTTAGGTTGTAAAAGATTTTGAGTATAAGAACTTAATATTTATATTTATGAGTTTGAAAATCATAATTTTTTTTTAAAAAAATAAATCAACCATAATGAATGAATATTACGTTTTATTTTTAGACCATTGTGTCATCTCTCGAAAATAGTTTTAGGCCCACACTCAATAAAATTTCTAGATCCGCCCCTGCATTCAAGGGCCTTACTCGACCTCTGTCTATATCCATTTGAACATGCGACATCCTCCTTGACCTGAAGAGTATTTGTTTTGTAGCCACATTCGACCTCCGTTCGGCGTACTTGTGCTTCTATTCGACCAACCAGTTTGCCTCGCCCGACCGACTGGTTTATCGAGTTTATTCTACTTGGTGTGGTATCCCATATTGGGGTAAAAAAATTCTTTTAGTGGGATAATGTGTAAAAAAGGTACATGTATATATTAGAATGTAAAAGAAACTATCCCTAAAAATTTTATAGTTCAAACTGAATACAATTTGAATTTTCCTTGTATCCATGTGCGCATGCCTTTAAATTCTCAACCTTGTGGTACACCTACAAATCTACATGTGAGGTTTCATAATACACAATGGACCACATATCTTTTTTTTTTTTTTTTGGTATAGGGACCTTCCGGTTTCTGGATCCACAGGGAAACCGACTAATCCGGAATCGAGCCGGGTAGAACCACAAGGGTGGCAAAGCTCTCCCTCAAAAGTTTTAACACTGCTGCATTCCCAGGGCTCGAACACGAGACCATTAGTTAAGCTGGAAGAGACCTAAGTCATCTCATCTAAGCGTTCATGGGTTGGACCACATATCTTTGCATTGACTTGAAGTCTTCAACAATATATTTTCATATAAGAGCCATTATGATTGATGACAACTTATCAAGAACAATCAACTCCACAAGTCATCACGTCATCTTCGCTTTGACTTTTTGCCATGCATGCAAACTCTAAATCAATAGTAAACAACGGTGGAGATTTATCACTCTCTATATGTATATATGTACTATATATCACATACACTCTCTATCCACACACAACTCAATTGTTTTTTTTTTCTAAAGTGAAGACAAAGTATATGTTGTAAGTAAATTTCAACATAGGTGGATGTTTTATCTACGTCTTCAGATTTAAAGGTACGTATTTGGGATTATTTTTAATAAGAAAAAAAATTGAATTTTACATTTTATTTATTTATTTATTTATTTGAGAAATGCATGGTGAAGTTAAAATGTAAATTTTATGAAGATAATGCATTATAGTTGATGTAGGAATTTATTTTATGGTATTTGTCAATATTGGCTTGCTTTTCTCTTCTAAACTACACCAAGAAAACATAGCAAGATTGTCTAGTTATGCCTTTTAAGTTTTATATTGACAAAATAATCACTGCAAGAAGAGACCAAAATAAATGGAGTTAAATTTATTTGTCAATTTCTCAATATCAATTGACAACCTAATTGTCATGATCATAGTTATTGTAAAGAACACGACTTTGTTAAGGTTATTACAATTTGAGCTTTTGCAATAACAGTTTGTTGTCTTACACAATGCTTTTTTGTAGTTGTGCACATACATTGTGTGATTTCATTTCGACTCTCTATTAGATCTTGACTTTTTTTTTTTCACATCAGTTTTGTAACGATGATGCGCAGAATCATTTTTAGTGTAAATAAATTTTTTGTCTTTGGGTTACAGTTCCAACTTATTATCTTTCTTATCTCTTACAAGAAAATTCTATTTAGTAATCATTTAATGGAAGATATATTTTATTCGTGATATTACTGAAGTTAGTGTTGAGGTTGCACGCTTGCCCGAAGATGTAGGCAATATTTCCCAATATACGTTATCAATTTGGTATGTTGTTTTCATTCTCGTAATTTATTTTCCTTATTTTATTGTGTTGGTTTAATTTTATTTGCAGTAGTGCTTGCAATTATACATCGTTGGTGTTTTTTTTC